CTCTAATTCATCCCAAAGGTGTTCTATCGGGTTCAGGTCAGGACTCTGTGCAGGCCAGTCAAGTTCATCCACACCAGACTCTGTCATCCATGTCTTTATGGACCTTGCTTTGTGCACTGGTGCACAGTCATGTTGGAAGAGGAAGGAGCCCGCTCCAAACTGTTCCCACAAGGTTGGGAGCATGGAATCTTCTTTTTTTCAGGAGCTGGGCTTGGCCCCTTAGTTCCAGTGAAAGGAACTTTGAATGCTTCAGGATACCTAAACATTTTGGACAATTCCAAAAAAGCTGTAATAGCTGCAAAAGGTGGACCGACATCATATTGAACTCTGGGTTAGGAATGGGATGGCACTTCAGTTCATAGTAGGAGTCAAAGCAGGTGAGTGAATACTTTTGGTAATATAGTGTAGTTGTGGAAACATTACTACAGGATTCTGATCATTGTTGACATATTTGTGTGGAAGATTTTCTATGCATTTACCGTATGTAAGTTACACGTCCAGGTTGTCACATCTACACCTACGTGACTTAGTCCTGCACTGTAAGAATAATTTACTGAGAGGCGATTGATATATTCACGGACATTGGGGGGGGGGGGGGGGGTATTAAGGTGTCACGGGGCGCAAGTGAGTCTTTTAGTATACTGTGGACTTCCTAGATACGAGTTTAATCCGTTCTACAACAGCACTCGTGTCTCAATCCGCTCGTGTCTACGGTGTCCACTGTTTTGTTCGTGCTCGAATGATAAACAAGCCTCCACTCACGAGATCAATTAAATTTGAACAGACACATATCAGTGGTATTTGCTTCATATTTTGTCTCTCTCTATCACTCTTTCGAGTTACCAGTGGCATATGTCATGTAACTGACTACAGATCAATGAAGTGGTGAAACGTGTTTTGTCCTCCAGCCCCCCCTTTTTTCACGTTTTCTCTGATTACTCTTTAGGTTGTGCTGTTGTACTTGATCTTCTCAGAGCTTCTCTCTTTTCTGCTTTCTTTCTGGTGCCACCCTGAACCTGACAGGTCCATTTTCAAACCTTTTATCTTCTCGGACTGTTCAACTCCAGTGCTCAGGGTCATCTCCCCACAGTACAGCCCGGAGGACCCTGTCCACAAACAGCCTCGCTTCCAGAGCAAGGTGGACCGAAGACATGACCTGTACAGGGCTCACCAGGTGGCGCGCAGCCACACTGAGACAAAAGAGGTGAGAGGGAACGATAATCTGTGTCTGTTCCATGGATGTAGGTCAGTAAGGAATTTGCATTGTCCCATTTTTAAGACATACTCTATTGTAGATGTAGATTCAAGAAGTGTCATTGTCTACAGCCGGGGAGCAAAGAGTCAGAAAAGGGTTAGACTTTCCTTACCAAAAGTAAAGTTTGGAATGAGTTTGACAGGACGGTACAGGATTCGCAGGATAGGACAAGACAGTGCAAGACAGGACAGCACAGAACAGGACAAGACGGCACAGGACAGGACGACACAGGACAGGACAGCCACACTCTTTAGTACACTCGAAACCACAAAAAAGGGTTTAAGTCATGACTGCACTGGAGCCAGACTCCATCATAGGGAAACCACACAGCTAATTCCAAACTTTTGGTGGTATATTAGTGTGAAAATTCAAAATTCTGTTCAGAATTTGAACAGAAGAAATCCTGTACCACTGAAAAAATACCACTGAAAATGTGTTATTTTCACATTGACAGCCGCTAGAGGACTCGCAGTGTAGCAGCGTCTGCTACTCCTGTACCACTGAAAATGTGCGACTTATACTCCGAGAGACAGAGAAGAACAGGAGGGCGTTTGGTTAGGAGAAAAAGAGAAAAGATGGAGAATAGAAGTGTTAGTCTGAAGTTTGGAACTTTGAATGTAGGTACAATGACAGGGAAAAGTAGAGAAAACGCTGATGTGATGGAGAGAAGAAGAGT